CCCCAAAACCCCAAAACCCCTGTTAATATTTAATAAATTGCAATAGATGAGAATGTTAATTTGAATAACAATAATAAATAAATAAGAATAAAGATGCATTCAAAATAACTTTTATTAATGGCCGTTTTGCTGTTCTCATCCTTCAGTTTATCCCTTGCTAGGAGATAATTAGCAGTTAGAAATACCAGAAGAGTGACAAGTACCACAATGCAAGAGTGCTTCAAGTTGACTCTAGGTGTATTCAGTGAAACCTTATCTATGCAAACAGATATGGTAAAGGTTGGGTGGTAAACAGATCAAACCTACAGTACTTAATCCAATCACAAGTACTGGAATGTTAGATTCAGACCATATGTTAAGCCAGATGTACTCATCCAAAATGAGATCAATATTGATAAGTTTTTCTATAACTCCATCAAAGTTGATATTGACTCTTTCATGACAAACGTTTTTGCAGAGACTTACATTTATGATGATGGAACTATTTGCTTAAACGCTGGATGGTAAACAGAAGATGTATTATTAACAGTGGAAATTGCAAACAAATTCCAAAACTGCTACAAGACAATCATCCAATCCCTTTGCGACTGGTCTTAATGGTTCTCTGCTTCAGCATAACTCTTAGATGAGTGTGACTAAAGTGACTCTGTCGATGTAACTCTCTACACATGGAATCCAATTGCCGTAGACTCCAAGAAATTATGGTATGGTATTGATACTTATCCATCCACAGCTGCTGAGATTGCAAAATGTAAACCTGGTGATATTGTCACTTTAAAATTCATTGGACTTCTCCTCTATGATCAATTAAACAAAATGCACGAAAATGATAATAAATAATGAAAAATCACTAAAGCTGATAGAAATAACGATAAATGATGATGAATTTCACATTACTATCTTTATATTAACTAATTGTTTGCAATTCATAACTATTCTGTAATCTTTAATTGGACATTAATGTGAAATTACTCACTCCATGGGGTTTTGGGGTTTTGGGG